AAATAATAAATAAAAAAATAATTTAAAAAAAAAAAAAAACTATAATGATTATTTATATTAAATAAATTATATATATATACTTATTAAAATTTTAATATTTTTTATTTTATTTTTTTTAACAAAAAAAAATATATATTTCTAAATAATTATTTTATAAATAAAATAATTTTTATTTTTTTACTTTTTTACTTTTTAATTAATTTTTATTTTAAAATATATATAATTAAATAACTTATTTCATATTTTATTAAAAAAAATAAAAAATATTAATTAATAAAATTTAATAGAATAAAGAATATATAAAAATAATACATTTTTATTAAAATAAAATATTTTTATTAAAATAAATATTTATATATATACATTAAAAAAATTAATTATAAATAAATTATAAATGGAATAAGAACAAGTTTAAGAATAGTCACAAACTGAAAAAAATCTAATTTCGATTTTAAATTTTGACCCAAATAATCATAAAGAACCAATAATAAAATTCTCCAAGAACCATCTAAGCACGCTTATCCGAGGGAATAAAGCCTTAAATGTTTATTAATAAAAGGAAAATAAGATATTATAAAACTTTTTAAAGGAAAAATTAATATTTAACAAGAGGCAATTGATTAATTTCAATCAACTTTAGAAAAAAAAAGATAATAAAAAATACAAATAATTATTTAAAAAAAGGTAATAAATAATCGATCTATAAGAAAAATAATCTCAAATGTTAAATTTTTCTACTTGTGAAATTAAACTTAAAAACAACTTTACAAATACAATAGAAGTAAAATAAATATATTAATATTAAAATAAAAATATATAGTCTTCAGGAAATAAAAATTGGAGAACAACAAGTACAAATCAAAAATCAGATTATATTTAAAGCAATTAAAAATCAAATACTTCATTAAATCATTTTTCAGTAGTAAATAATAATAGTATGATGTTAGAATATATTTAAAAAATTAAATAAAAAAGTAGAAAAACTATTGAGAAAGTTAAAAATAGATAAGTTAAAAATAAAAATAAAAACATAACAATGAACTAATATATATATATATTACAAAAAAATAGATAAAAGATATCAAAAGTATGCTTGAAAGTGAAATTTAATTAAGAAAAATAAAGAAAAAAATTATGAAAAAGAAATAAAAATATAAAATCATATAGAGGAATAAAAAGAAAATTAGAAGCACGAAGAAAGGAAGAAGAATAAAATACCGAAAAAAATAATAATAAAGAAATGAAAAAATAGAATATGAAGAGATAGAGTTACAATAAAAATTATTAGAAAAGAAAAAAGAAAAATAAGGATAATGAAGGAAAAAGAAAAGGAAAAATAAGAAAAGAAATAATAAAAAAAATGAAGAAGAAAATACTAAACATCGTATAGAGGCTTTAAAACATATAGAAATATAAGAATAATAAAATATACAAAAAATATAAGAAAAAGAATAAAAAATTAAATAAAAAGAATAAAAATATAAAGCTTAATTAGAATATATGAAAGCTGAAAGAATTATATAAGCATAACTCAAAGTAAAAGAACAATAAAAAAGGTTTCAAAAAATGGAAGAAAATATAAATTAATAATTAGAAAAAAATAATAAAGTAACAAAATAATATTTTTTTATTTAAATATTTTATATAAATAAATATGCATTTTAGTTAATGTAAGTTAAATAAACTAAATCATAAATTAAAATTTAAGAATTAAAATAAGCATAAGAAAAAGAAATTTAATTATTATAATAAGAAAGAAAAAAAATATTGCTTTCTATATAAAAATAAAATGTAATTTTAAAATATAATATATATATATATATATATATATATTATATATATATATATATATTATTATTATATTTTTTTATTATTATATATATTTATATAAATTTTATTAAAAATAGGAACTACAATAATTAGAAACCGATTAAAATAATTAAACTATACTATAGAAATTCCACATTTAATTATAAAAATACTAATACAAATAAAATTAGAAATAAAAAGTAATATTAAGTAGAAGTTGTTATCAAAAAGAAAAAGAAATGAGAACAAAACAATAAAAAGATAAAAAGTTAGATGATTATAATTAAATGATGAATTAATAATACTAATAAATAGAAATAAAATCTTAATATTATAATTAAAACAAAGAGAAAATGTATAATAAGAAAATTATTAAAAATAAAACCGAGTATTTATTAAAAAAATATATGGTAGATGAAAATCTTAGTTAATTGGATGAAAAATATAATTATAATAAAGAATAATTATTAATTAAATTATAAAATCATGATTTAAGAATTAAAAATCTTGAGTTTTTTTTTTTCTATTACATTAATATTTATTATATAATATTTTTTTTAGAAAAGAAAAGGAAAGTTTAAGAAAACAATAAGAAGAAATAGAAAAAAATACCTAGAAATAAAAATAGCTTATGTATGAAAAAATTTAAATGAAATTTCATAAGAATTAGAATAAAAGTATTAATCATTTAATAAAAGAGTTTGGACTTGATTTAAGTAATAAAATATAATTATAAAATTTCTTATTATTATTAATATACATATATATATATATGAAGAAATCAATGAAGAAAATGAAATTTAATCATAGTATAACTTAGAAAATAATAATTAAAGTCAAATGGATTAATAAAATAATTTATTCCTTACAGATATTTAATAAAAAAACGAATAAAATGCATGATATATTATTAGTTATTTAAACAATTGTTAAATATTTAAAAAAATAAATATAAATTTAAATTCTATTAATTATTTTATAATTATTTTTTTTTTTAATAAATAAATTTATAATAATAAAAAAAAACTCTTAAATAAATATAAATAATAATAAAATAAATAATTATTAAAAATACTTAAAAAAATTAAATATATATTAATTAATAAAAAAAAAATATTTATAATTTAAAAATTAGTTTTTTTGTTAGACACTTAATAAAAAAAATATATAATATGTAAGATTATTTAAACAATATACAAACAAAAAAAATATAAAATAAAAAAAGATATAATATATAATAAAAAAAAAAAAATCTATCAAAAAAAATAGAAAAAAAAAAAAAAATGAGTCACGAAGAAGATAATATTCCCGATTACGATTCTGATGATGAACCAAACAAAGTACACTAACCCAAAAACGAGTAAAAATAAATAATACATTATTTAAAAAAATAAATACTATAAAAATAGTTAAATGGTAGCCAATCATTCATCATTTAATGATTTTAATTTAAAAGAAGATCTATTAAGAAGTGTTAAAGAAGCCGGTTTCGAAAGACCATCTGAAGGTAAATATATATAAAAAAAAAAATTAATATTTATATATATATATAATTTTTATTCTAAAAAAAAAAAAAAAAAAAAAAAAGTCTAATACAATTGTATCCCTAATGCGTAAATAAATATATCTATATATTAATATAAAAATATTTTTAATATATATTAGTATTCATGGAACAGATATTTTATGTTAAGCCAAAGCCGGAACAGGAAAAACAGCTGTTTTCGTGTTATCAGTTTTAAACTAATTAGCTGAGGATACACCACCTTATAGTTGTTTAGTATTATGTCATACCCGTGAATTAGCTTTTTAAATCAAAAACGAGTTCAAACGCTTAGGAAAATACACAAATTTCAAAACCAGAGCTATATTTGGAGGAGTTGAAGAGCAAGACGATATTGCTATTTTAAAATAGAAAAAACCACATATTTTAGTTGCTACCCCGGGTAGATGTTTATCTTTGATAAATATGAAAAATTCAGTCATAGAAGCTAAAAATGTCAAATATTTTGTGGTTGACGAATGTGATAGAGTTATGGAAAGTATTAAAATGAGGTATATAGATAAATTTATTAAATTATTATAAAATTAATTAGGTCGGATGTATAAGAAATATTCATGAAATTACCTCTTTAAAAATAAGTAATGATGTTTAGTGGTACTATGTCAACTGAAAGTAAAAAAATATGTAGAAAATTCATGAAAGATGTATACAAATTATATATATTAAAATATATATATATAAATATATATATAAATATATATATAAATATATATATAAATATAAGATATATATTAATATTAATATTTATATACATATATAAATTAATATTTATATACAAAATATTTATATTAATTTTTTTTTGATTTATTAGTAATTGGAAATATTTATAGAAGACAATGCAAAACTAGTTCTTCATGGTTTAGAATAATATCATTTGAAACTAGAAGAAAAATAAAAAATTCCTATTTTAATTTAGTTTTTGAATTAACTTTCTTTTAATTAAGTTATTATTTTTGTTAACAAAGTCGAAAGAGCTATTTATCTATCTAAATATTTATAAGAAGAAAAAAAACTTGAAAATTCAGTTATTTATAGAACATTATCTTAAGATTAAAGGTATTATATATACATATTTTAATTATTTTAAAAATTTTAAAATATATTATAAATAGAACAAAAGTTTATTCAGAATTTAAAGAAGGAAAAAAAGAATTTTAGTTGCAACTGATTTATTCGGAAGAGGTATTGATATTGAAAGAGTTAACTTAGTTATTAATTTTGATATGCCTGAAAAATAAGATGATTATATGCATAGAGTTGGAAGAGCAGGTCGTTTTGAAACAAAAGGAACTGCTATTTCTTTCATTTCTACTAAAGATAATGAATAGGTTTTGAAAGATATTTAATAAAATTTCTCAACTTCTATTAGTGAATATAATTTGTCAAACATATCAAAGTAAAAAAATAAATTATTTTATTTTATTTAATTTAATTTTATTTTTTAGTTGATTTTATGAAATAAAATAAAATAAAAGTTTTTAGATATTTATGTTTTTATTATTTTTTTTTCATAAAAAATATTAATATTATTAATATGTAATTTTATATTTTCTTTGTTATTTTTTATCTTTAATTTTTAAATACCAAAATAATAATTTTACTATAAAAATTAATAAAAAAAAATTGATTAAAAATAAAAAATTAAGAATTTTTATTTATTTTCTAATATTTTTATATTGCTTTAATTAAAAAATATATAAATCTTTTATTTTTTTACATAAAGTGTTTATTTTATAGTTTTTTAATATATATATTTATCAAAACATTAAAACATAAAAAATATTTCATTTAATTTATAATATTTTTTCATTATAAATAATATTTATATTTATAATTTTATATAATGCACTCAGATTTATATTTAAATAAATAAAATAAAAATTCCTTTATTACAAACAAATATAATTATTAATTTATTAATAAATTAAATAAAATTATTTATTAAATAAAACTTATTGATAAATTTTATTTAATATTATAAAATAAAAATGTATAATATTATTACATTTTTAATTGTTAATTTTATATTATTTTATTATAACAATATATAATTTAATATTATATTTATTAATTTAATAAAATATATTATTATTTTATATTAAATTCTCATTTAATATATAATATCTTATTACATAGAAATAAATAAATATAAAAATATTAGTTTAAAAATAAAAAAAAAAATTTAAATATTTTTATTATTTAAATTCTTTAAAACATTTTTTATCATTTTTAAAAGTTTAACCAAATAATATTTTTTTATTTTTCAATTCTTTAATTTATTTGTTATAATTTAAAAATAAAAATTATATATATAATATATTATTAAATAATGTTTTATTTTTATAAATATTATTATTATAATTAATTTTTTTTTTATAAATATT